ATATCTTGAGAAATGACTATTCATGTCATTTGCCCACTTTTTGATGGAATTATTTGTTTTTTTCTTGCTGATTTTTTCGAGTTCCTTGTAGATTCTGGGTATTAGTTCTTTGTCAGATGTATAGTTGCAAATGTTTTCTCCCATTCTGTTGGTTGTCTGTTTACTCTGATGATTATGTCTTATGCTTCACAGAAGCATTTTAGTTTAAGTAGGTCCCATTTATTTAGTTTTTGTTCCATTTGCTTTTGTGATCTTACTCATAAACGCTTTGCCTTGGACAATGTCATAAAGTGTTTTTCCTAGGTTTTCTCCTAAAATTTTTATGGTTTCTGGTCTTAGATTTAAATCTATCCATCTCGAGTTGATTTTTGTATATGGTGAGAGATCCAGTTTCATTTTTCTACCTGTGACAATTCAGTTTTCCCAGAACCATTATTGAATAGGAGGTTCTTTCCCCAATTTATGTTGTTGTATGCTTTTGTGGAAGATCAGTTGATTGTAAGTATTTGACCTTATTTCTGGGTTCTTTATTCTGTTCCATTGGTCTGTATATCTGCCTTTATATCAGTACAATGCTATTTTGGTTACTATAGCCTTGTAGTATAATTTGAAGTTGGAGTGATGTGATGCCTCTAGAGTCGTTCTTTTTGCTTAACATGGCTTTGTCTATTTGGGCTCTCTTTTGGTTCCATGTGAATTTTAGGATTATTTTTCTAATTGTGTGAAAAATGATGTTGGTATTTTGATAGGAATTGTATTGAATCTGTATATTGCTTTGGGCATTATGGTCATTTTAATAATATTGATTCTTCCAGTCGATGAGCATGGGATGTATTTCCATTTGTTTGTGTCATCTGATTTCTTTCAGCCATGTTTATAGTTTTTTATATATCTTCTTGGTTAAGTATATTGCCAGGCATTTGATTTTTTTTTTGCAGCTATTTTAAAAGGGATTTTGTTCTCGATTTGTTTCTCAACTTGGTTATTGTTGATGTATAGTTGATGCTACTGATTTGTGTACATTGATTTTGTAACCTTTGACTTTACTGAATTCATTGATCAAATCTAGGAGTCTTTTGGTAAAGTCTTTAGGGTTTTCTAGGTATGTGATCATATCATTGGCAAACAGAGATAGTTTAACTTCCTCTTTTCCAATTTGGATGTCCTTTGTTTATTTCTCTTGCCCTATTGTTCCAGATAGAACTTCCAGTCTTATACTGAATAGAAGTGGTGAAAGTGGGCATTCTTGTCTTGTTCCAGTTCTTAGGGGCGATGCTTTCATCTTTTCCCCATTGATTGGTTTTTCTTATTTTGAGGTATGTTCCTTCTGTGCCTAGATTTTTATCATAAAGGGATGCTGGATTTCGTTGAATGTTTTTCTGCATCTATTGAGATGATCGTATGGTTTTTGTTTTTAATTCTGTTTATGTGATGAGTCACATTTACTTGGGTTTGTTGAACCATCCTTACATCCTAGGATGAAACCCACTTGGTCATGGTGAATTATCTTTTTGATGTGCTGTGGGATTTAGTTTGCTGTTATTTTGTTGAGGATTTTTTAATCTATGTTCACCAGGGATATTGGTCCATGGTTTTCTTTTTTCTGTTATGTCCGTTCCTGGTTTTGGTATCAGAGATACTGGCTTCATAGAATGAGTTGGATAGGATGCTCTGTTTCTCAACCTTTTGGAATAGTTTCAGTATGCTTGATGCCAATTCCTTGAATGTCTGGTGGAATTTGGCCATGTATCTGTCTGGCCCTGGGCTTTTTGTTTTTTTTGACAATTTTTGTTATTACTGATTCAGTCTCACTGGTTGTTATTGGTCTGTTCAGGCCTCTTAATTCTTTCTGATTCAAGCCAGGAGGGTTGCATGTTTCCGGAGATTTGTTCATTTCCTCTAAATTTTCTAGTTTGTTTGCACAGAGGTGTTTATAGTGTCTTTAAATGATCTTTTGTAATTCTGTGGTGTTAGCCATAATGTTTCCATTTCTGTTTCTAATTGAGCTAATTTGAATTTTCTTTCTTCTTGGTTAATCTAGCTAATGGTCTATTGATTTTATTTATCTTTTCAAAGAACCAATTTTTATATTTTGTATTTTGATCTTTTGTTTCAATTTTGTTTAGTTCTGCTCTGATCTTTGTTACTTCTTTTCTTTTGCTAGCTTTGGGTTTGGCTTGTTCTTCTTGTGACAGGGTTGTGCTCTGTCACCCAGGCTGGTGCGTGGTGGAACGATCACTGCAGCCTTTACCTTCCCAGGTGAAGTGATTCTCTCATCTCAGCCTCCCAAGTAACTGGGACTACAGGCATGCACCACCATGCCTGACTAATTTTTAGTATTTTGTGGAGGCAGTATTTTGTCATGTTGCTCAGGCTGGTCTCAAACTTTTGGGCTAAGCAATCCTCCTGCCTCTGCACCTCAAAGTGCTGGGATTACAGGTGTAAGCCACCACACCTGGCCTAGTGTGTTCTTGTTTCTCTAGTTCTTTTGAGGTATGACGTTAGATTGTCAACTTGTGATCTTTTGGATTTTTTGATGTAGGCATTTAGCACTATAAACTTTCCTTTTAGCACTGCTTTTGCTGTATCCCAGAAGTTTTGATAACTTGTATCACTGTTACCATTTATTTAGAAGAACTTTAAAATGTCCATCTTGATTTCATTGTTTATCCCAAAATCATGCAGGAACAACTTAATTAATTTCCATGTATTTATGTAGTTTTGAGGGTTCCTTTTGGAATTGATTTCTATTCTGTTGTGGTTTGAGAAGATAATTGATATAGTTCCCCTCCCCTCCCCTCCCCTCCCCTCCCCTGCCCTGCCCTCCCCTGCCCTGCCCTGCCCTCCCCTCTCTTCCCTTCCCCTCCCCTGCTCTCCCCTGCCCTCCCCTGCCCTCCCCTGCCCTCCACTTTCTTTTTGACTGAGTGTTGCTCTCTTGCCTAGGCTGGAGTGCGATGGTGTGATCTCGGCTTACTGCAACCTCCCTCCGCCTCCCAGGTTCAAGTGATTCTTCTTCCTCAGCCTCCCAAGTAACTGGATTACAGGTTCCTGCCACCACTCCCAGCTAGGGTTTTTTTTTTTTTTTTTTTTTTTTTTTTTTTTTTTGTTTGTTTGTTTGTATGAGGTTAGTGGAGATGGGGTTTCACATGTTCAGCAGGGTGGTCTTGAACTTTTGATCTCAGGTGATCTGCGTGACTTGGCCTCCCAAAGTGTTGGGATTACAGGTGTGAGCCACCATGCCTGGCCAATATATTTCGATTTTTAGAACATTTATTGAGGCTTGCTTTGTGGCCTGTCATGTGGTCTGTCTTTTCTTAGGTCTAGTAATTGTTTTGTGAATCTGGGAGCTCTGGAGTTAGGGGCATATATATTTAGGATTGTCTTCTTGTTGGATTGATCCTTTTGTATTATATAGTGACCTTCTTTGTCTTTTTTTTTTTTTTTTTTTATTGCTTTAAAGTCTTATTTTATTTTATATAAGAGGAGCTATTCGGCTCGCTTTTGGTTTCCATTTACAAGAAATATCTTTTTCCATCCCCTTTACTTTTGTTCTATAAGACTCCTTATGTTTTAGGTGAGTCTCTTGAAGACAGCAAATATTTGGTTTGTGAGTTTTTTAATCCATTCTGCCAATCTGTATCTTTTAAGTGGAGCAGTTAGATGATTTATGTTCAACATTAATACCGAGATGTGAGGTGTTGTTCCAGCCATCATGTTGATTGTTACCGGGATATTTTGTGTTCTCCACTGTGTTATTGAGCTGTGCATTTTATGCTTTCAGGAGATTCCATTCTGGCACCTGTTGACCTTTTATTTCAAGCTTTAGAACTTTTAGCCTCAGTTTATTTTTAAAGATTACTGTATATGGAAATAAAGGAAAACAGAAAGTCCCTAATATTGTGCACAACTGAGTGAACTGTATATTTGTTTTATTTTGGATTAATTATTGCCACAAGAAATCTGTGGTTTTAGGAGTTTTGAAAATTGCTAAGGTCTGTAGGTGATTTTTCCAGACTGATGATATTTCCCATCATTTGGCCACATGACAGGAAGCATTTGGTATAGTTTTATTTCTTACTTGAAGCAGTAAATAATTCAAATTTTTGTCTTGGTAAGAAATGTTCCATGCCTAATTTGAGTGTATTTACCTTTATTTACTAATAAGCAGTTTAGATATTCGTACCCTTTCTTTTATAGAAATAAATGAGAATTATGCATACAATCCCAAATCAAAATATAATTTTGAGCAGATGTCCTAATTGATTTATACTAGATAGATTGACCTATGTATGATTCATTTTTCCTAGGAGAAGGAAAGAGATGGTTGAAAAGAAATATTTATTTGGTAATTTATATATTGACATAACAGTGGCACAGTCTTGGTTCTTTGGATTTGTGTTTTTGTAAAGTAAAACAAATAGTAAAGTTTCACAATGAAGACTGACTATCAAAGGAGTGGTTAAAGCACCTGGCTCAGGGCACAGATTGAATCCTGGCTTAGACTCTCAGTGGTTCTGTGGCACTGGACAAGTTAATTAACCTCACCAAGCCTTATTTACCCATCTTTAATGTGAAACTAATGACACTACCTGCCTCATGGAGTTTTTGTAAGGATTAAATGATATAGTGCTTAGCTCAGTAGAAAATAGTGAATAAATGTTAACGCATTTCACTTTGCTGTTGCTATTATTGTAGATGTGGTTATACAAAAACTGAGCATTCTAAAATGTTGACTTAATGTTGAAAGTAATGGATATAAAAGGTGCATTAAACAATTCTAGTTTCTGTGACCAAGTCACATCAAAGAAACTAATAATTAAAAAAAAGCGTGATTGATGGAGATTAACTTTATTCATAAAATGTTTTTTCTAACTAGACATTATAAGCAAGCTAAGGAATTTAAAAGAATAATATTCCCTGAAAGTTGCTTCCCTAGGTATCTTTAGCATTGTATAATTTAAGTATTACAGATTCATGCAGAAATCCTTTATGTTTTGCAGAGTTACGCTGTTAGACCTTATGATAGCCAAGCTAACGAGTGAGCAGCCACTCACCAAGGATGACATCCCTGTGTTTTTACACCATGCTGAGTTGGTCGCAAGCACCTTTGTGGATCAGTGCAAGACTGTGCTCAAGTTGGCCTCTGAGGAGCCTCCAGATGATGAGGTAAGGGAGGCACATTTCCCAATCTTGGGTAAAAGAGAATGGATAGATTATCTAGCTCAGCCAAGTTGTCTATGAGAATTATTTTTTAAAAGCTTTTAAAAATATTAATGTAAGTAATGTATCCATATATGAGAATAGTTAGAAAATTTAGATAAAGAACAGTGTCCTTATTTTTACCATCCAGAGTCAATGACTTAAAAAAATTCTGATTAATGTATTTTTCTAAACAGATGACATCAAATATGTGCACACATACGTAGACACGTGCACATATGTATCTATTAAAAGTGGGGCCTTTCTATGCCTTCTGTTTGCAGGTCCCCATTTTCTCTTCTGAATGTAAGCTCTAGGAGGGCAAAAAGTTTGACTCTTTTGTTCATAGTACTGTGTATATGGTAGGCACTTAATATTTGCTGAATGAATAAATAATACATTGTAAATGTCTTTTGAAAATGCCAACATAGTTTGGGCATGGTGGCTCACACTTTTAACTCCACTTCTTTGGGAGGCCAAGGCGGGAAGATCGCTTGACTCTAGGAATTCTAGATCATCCTGGGCAACATGGTGAAACCCCATTTCTGCAAAAAATACAAAAATTAACTGGGCATAGTGGCACATGGCTGTAGACCCAGCTACTTGGGAGGCTGAGGTAGGAGGGTCACTTGAGCCCAGGAGATTGAGGCTACGGTGAGCCATGATTGTCCCACTGCACCCCAGCCCTGGTGATGGAGTGAGACCCTTATCTAAAAAAAAAAAAAAGCCAACATAACATTTCAAATAAACAATTTCCTACTTATTTGTCCATATCCCTGTAGCTGGACATTTCGGTTGTTTTTGTTTTTTTGAGACAGAGTCTCGTTCTGTCACCCAGGCTGGAGTACAGTGATGCAATCTCAACTCACTGTAGCCTTCGCCTCCTGGGTTCAATCATTTCTCCTGTCTTGACCACCCAAATAGCTGGGATTATAGTTGCGCACCACCATGCCTAGCTAATTTTTATATTTTTAGTAGAGATGAGGTTTCGCCCTATTGGCCAGGCTGGTCCTGAACTCATGACTTCAGGTGATCTGCCTGCCTTGGCCTCCCAGAGTACTGACATTACTGGCATGAGCTACCACGTCTGGCCTAGGTTGTTCTTATTTCTACTTATTTTAGATAGTACTGTAGTATGTGTTTTTTTTATAGTTACATCTTTGCACATTTCCACAGCTATTGTCCTAGGACGTAATCTTAGAAGTGAAATTGCTATGTATAGGGATATCACATGTTTAAAGCTCTTGATACATACTTCCATACTGCTTTCTGGACAGTTTGCTTCTTCTCTCCTTTATAGGAGATTCCTAGTTGTATACTGTCCTGGTTAATTATTTAAACTATTGTTTTTTTCTCCTTAAGACTGCCTTAGATCATTCAGGTCTTGTTTTACTTAGGGCGTGGAAGTGAGCTTATGTTAATTCTCTTTCCCTCAGAACTTTCCATTTTTATCTGTTCTCCCTTTCTTCTGTCATAAAGTTAGAATTGTTCTTTCTCTGGACCACTCAGCCGTAAAAAAGGATGCACTTGTGATACAACAACAGGGAAGAATCTCAGAAGTGCTGAGGGAGAGAAGCCAGACAGACTGGAGAACATGCTGATTCTATTTCTCTGGGTTCGGTGGCAGACCAGACTTAGATAAGGTCATGATAGGAAACAGATGAGATGTCACCTGGGTCTGGAAATGAAGGAATGGAATTGATTGCAGAGGGACACGAGGGAACTTTCTGGATAGTAGAATGTGACACATAGCTGTATACCTTGACACAACTCTGTACTGCATACTTAAGTTGGATGTATTTCATTATATGTATAGTATACCTCAATAAAGCTGATTTAAACACATTTTAATAAAAGATGATAGAGAGTTCCTTCATATGCTGAATGAACGGTCAGGTGGAGAGGGAGTGATTGATGCTAGAATCACTGTTGGCAAATGAATGAGACTGGAGGAAAGAGATTGGAATCCAGAGTGGATGCTCATTCACTGTCCCCAGGGGGGAAGGTAGAGAATATGATCCATAGTGTTTCCTGGAGAGTGATGTGTAATACTGTGAAACTGTTAACTGCTTTTGTAAGTGCAGCTCATGGTTATGACTGCTTGGCCACGAGAATGTATTTCCATTTTTGTGAATATGCTTTTGTTCAAGACCATTTTGCTGTTGATTTTCTGTGCTTTGTCGTGTAAACCATGTTAGGTCTTACTAATCATGCTGTTGCTTTACTTCTCATTTTCTGTGATAGGAAAGAAAGAAAGGTCTTTATTCAGGGGCTTGCATTTACTTTCTGGAGATAGACTTGCCTTTGTTTCCAGCAGGAGGAGCAGTGAGTCGTGCTTAAGAAAAGTTTTAACAATTCTCTAGGAGACGGAGAAAAGGCAGATCACATCTTTAAACTTTTCAAGGCACCTCTGTTTAAAGTATAGGTGATTTTCAGTGTTGTAGTGAGAAATTCCTGGATTAACCTTGCATATTTAGGAAAATTTATATATTTTCTTCAGACATTTTTTTCTCTAAGCTGGGAAGTATTTTTATATATTAATGGAATGAAAAATTGTAGACTGAGAACAGTGGCTCACACCTGTAATCCCAGTACTTTGGGACGCCAAGGCCTGGGAGGATTGCTTAAACCCAGGAGTTGGAGACCAGCCTGGGCAACATAAGGAGACTCCATCTGTACAAAAAAACAAAGAATTAGCCGGGCGTGGTGGTGTGTGCCTGTGGTCCTAGCTACTCGGGAGGCTGAGGTGGGAGGCTTGCCTGAGCCCAGAAAGTTGAGGCTGCAGTGAGCTGTGATTGCAGTACTGCACTCCAGCCTGGGGAAGAGTGAGACCCCGTCTCAAAAAAAAAAAAAAATTGTAGGCAGTTTTCTTTTGCAAAGCCAAATTAATTTGCTTTTGGAAGTTTATTGAGCTATACATTTATGACTTGCACATATTACTGTAGATATGTCATATATATATATTTTTAAAGAGGACCCCTATGCCAGTATTTAAATGTGCCAAAGACCAAGTGTTATACTGGAGCTGGCCTGTGGTGACTTCTAAGAGTTGATTATTAAGTGCTTAGAAATTCGTGAGCTGATTGTTAAATTGTTGATACCTTGAAATCATCCATGGTGGAAGTAGTTCAGCCATGGAAACCAGCAAATGCTACAGATCAGGGCTTTCTACCTGCCTCGTCCTCCCCAGCCATCTTCTGCCAAACCACTGCATTTACCTATTTGTGATCTTTTTTGAACAAGATAGATATTCAGTAAAGTTTTCAGTGCTATGATTGAAAAGTGAGAATGGAAACGGTTGTATTTATAGGATGTTTTGTGTTTTGTTTAATTTATGTAATTGTTTGGTTTTAAAATCCCAAGGTTTTCTTCATGTGTTTCTTTATAAAAATAGTTTTGGGTTCTCATGTTAGTGTACTTATTCCTGTCCTTTGATACATTTTGTGTACTTGTTTCCAGTTTTTGATATATTTTTGTCAGTTTTGAATCCTGTCCACTTGTAGCAAGCCTTGCCTTTTCTCTGAAAGCTTAAAAAACATTCTCTTTAGCTTTGTATTTTCTGATACCCATATATTACAAGAGTTTTCCTCAGGTTGTGGGATTTGCATTCTATTTTAATTTTTGCAACCCCAATTTAGCCCATACTGTATCTGTTATGTAGTAGGTGTTTAATACATATTTAATACAAATTCTGTAATACTGTAGTTTTTCCACGTTAAGGGCTTGAATTTTGGTATTATGCAAATAATATTTGCTTTGTTGTTAATAATTATTTAAGCTGAAGTCAGTGAAACATAAAGTTACAAAGTTTCAGCTGGGTGTGGTGGCTCATGCCTGTAATCCCAGCACTTTGGGAGGCTTAGGTGGCAGATTACCTGAGACCAGCCTGACCAGCATGATAAAACTCCGTCTCTACTGAAAATACAATAATTAGCCAGGAGTGGTGACAGGCATCTGTAATCCTAGCTACTCGGGAGGCTGAGGCAGGAGATGCGTTTGAACCTGGGAGGTGGGTGTTGCAGTGAGCCAAGATCATGCCATTGCACTTCAGCCTGGGCGACAGAGTGGGACTCGGTCTCGAAGGGGGAAAAAAAAGTTACAAAGTTTCCTGCTTTTTGCCCGGCCTCCGTTTGTTTTCTACGGATCTATCTGCATATCCTTTTTTTCTTTTCTTTTCAAAGGTCTTTTTTTGTATATACACACCTGTATGTTTTCTGTTTTCATTTTTTACACTATTCTTCAACTTGCTGTTTTCACTTATGATGTAATGACTTGTACATCTTTGCACTTTAACATGTATGCATTGTATGTTTTTAATAGTTGAACAGTATTTAACTTTATAGATGCATCATACTCTCTTTCATTTGTTCCCTATAGACATTTCAGCTGCTTCCAGGTTGCTTTTTTTTCTTTTTTTCTTTTAACTTTTACAAATAATGTTACAGTGAACATCCTTGTACAAATTTTGCACAAGTTAATCTGAGATTGTAAATTCCTGGAGTTGAATTGCTGGGTCAAAGAATGATTTCTAAGTTGCACACAAATGCAACACAGGATTGCATGAGCTACCCTTTGCACATCTGATTTAATTACTGTTTCTCATTAATGTTTTTCAGTGACCATTATGTTTGTTTTGCATATTAGGTCACCTTTTAAAATGCATTTATTAAAAAGCATTTTCTGGAAATTAATCTTTCTGTCATACTTATAGTAAATTTTTTTTTATGTAGTTAATTTTTGTTTGAATTTATTTCTGATGTTCTCTTAGTCTTTTAGTTGTTTTTTGTTTGTGTTTAATCTAGTTAAGCTTATCAATTTTATCCTTCTGGCCTCTGGATTTTTTCTTTTCTTTCTTTTTTTTTTTTTTGACAGCTGACAGCCAAGAAGATTTTTCTTGTTGTTTGTAAATTCTCCACTTTGATTGTGGAAATATACACCTCCGTAGTCTAGTTCTTTCAGTACTTAGTCCACAGTTTTTTATTTATCTAGAATTTATTTTTGAGTAAGGAGTGAGTTATGGATCCAAATGAATTATTTATGTCTTTCAACTGTCCAAAATTATAAAATCTTTGGTGTGAAACTGACTGAGTTTGTGTCTTGATTTCTTCTGTAACAGGTGTATGATGTTGGAAAAGTTACTCATCTTCTCTCTGCCCTTCTTTTTCTTAAAATGGGTTGTATTATTATTATTATTTTGAGACAGAGTCTTGCTGTGTTGCCCAGGCTGGAATGCAGTGGCACTATCTCTGCTCACTGCAACCTCCATCTCCCGGGTTCAAGTGATTATCCTGCCACAGCCTCCCAAGTAGCTGGGATTACAGGCGCCCACTACCATGCTTGGCTAATTTTTGTATTTTTAGTAGAGATGGGGTTTCACCGTGTTTGCTAGGCTGGTCTCAAACTCCTGACCTTGGGTCATCCACCTTCCTTGGCCTTCCGGAGTGCTAGGATTATACGCTTGAGCCACTGTGACCAGTCGGGTTGTATTTTAATATAAACATTTAATGTGCTAATGGGTACTAGTTAATGTTCCCTAAATATTATCTGTTTGTGGTTGTTTCAGTACCATTTAGTGAATAATCGTACCCTTTCTACTGTTTTTTTTTTTTTTTTT